GAAGCTCTGAAAGTTCTCCAGTGGTGTTATGGCTAAAGGATATCTCAAGAATAAGAAAGCATATGTCTTACTGAAAAGCTGCTTGTTTTCCTAAACTGTGATCCTGTCTTGTTCCACAGCTCCCAAACTTGAGCAATATCACTAACCTCATCAATGGCTTATATGAGATTTTTGTGTATTATAATTTTTAATGGAAATGGCCTGGTAAGGCAGTCCATAGACGGAATGGAATCCTCAGAACCAGTGGAATGAGCCCCAGGGGTGAACAAGAAAACATATACTTGGGTATTTATAGAAATCCCAGGGAGGCTTCAGATTTCAATTAGGAGACCCCAAGTCAACAAATGGTCAAAAAATGAGGTAGGGATAGAAGGTAAAGCTAGCAGAGCTCTTGGTTGAGTGGGAAGAGGTTAAAGATCAACTGAAGGCATCTTGTACCCATCATCTGATCATTCATGGACTAATTCTGACCACAAGTACTTACCGAAGATTCTCATTATTTGCAGTAGGGATGTTCTCTCAAGTTGCCACAAACACTGAATTAATGAATACTGAACAAAGGGACAACAAAGTTAGGTCCCTGTGAGCCTCTGATCACAACACTGATCAATGTTATGATTGACCAATACATACCTTCTTTTATGTGTGTTTCTGTTTAGAGACACCTTATTTAACATACATTGTTGATGCATTAACATTGAACTCATGGCCCACCAGCTCTATAACTCACTCCTTAAAGAAATTTATCTCACACATATACTTTCTGTGTGAATCATATCAAGTCTTCCTGTGCTTAGAAACACTAGACAGAACTGTATCACTTTACTTGGGGGCTATTTTAAACAGCAAAATGACCAACAGAAAGCACAAAAATGTGAAACACATATGGCACTAAATAGACCACAGAAAGAACACTTGTTTATAGTATGAGAGCTGAAACAAGAAGGCAGAGTGTCACCTTGTTCAACTTCAGTTAGGAATGTGGCCATCAGATGATTCAGTTTTTTGCTGCTCTGCACATGTCTCTGAGTGACCTCAACAGCACAGCAAGTCTTGATTTTGGGGTTACAAATAAATTTTAGTGACTAGGCAAATTAGCAAGTACAGATTCCATAAATAATGAAGATTGCCTGCATTTTAATTTTGACAGGTGTCAACATGTGCTTAGGACTTGGCAGTCACAGTAAAATCTTCAGTTGTATTCATAATATTCCAAATGAGAATAAAAAGATAGAACATGATCTTCAATTATATACTCCTATTTAAAATCCAGTTAGATAAAATAGGACCAGTTCAGCAACTCTGCTTCTTTCAGAGGTTTTGCTTTTGTGAAAAAATGTGCATCTCCTCCACAAAATTAATGAAATAACCTAAAAATTTAAAACTCTTAAATTTACAGATGTATGAGTTCTTTCTAAGTAAAAACTGTAGAAAAATTTGGAGTAATTCGATACATTAAAATTAGTTTTACTCTCTATTCCCAAAAGTCTCAATTGCTTTTTAAAATTGAGCACTTAAAGGGCGCCTGGGTGGCTCAGTTGGTTGGGCGACTGCCTTCGGCTCAGGTCATGATCCCGGAGTCCCGGGATCGAGTCCCGCATCGGGCTCCCTGCTCGGCGGGGAGTCTGCTTCTCCCTCTGCCCCTCCCCCCTCTCATGTGCTCTCTCTCTCTCATTCTCTCTGTCTCAAATGAATAAATAAAATCTTTTAAAATTGAGCACTTAAAAACATTTATGAAACTACAGTAATTACTAACAGTATCTATAAAAATCTTCAGTTGCTGAAGATTATTCCCTTGCACCCTCATTTTCATAGTAAGTCAAACAGTTATCTAATGTCACAATTCAGACCACATTGACTGGATCAGGAATATAACATTCAAATTAAAAAATAACAATTTAAAGACATTAGTGATAAAAATATAGTATTTGGTATCTGCCTTCAGAGAAAGAATTATATTTTTAAAACTTTGGCCACCAGAGTCTATCAACTGTTCTGGCACCTCTTTTTCTTCTTCCCTTTTATTATTCTTGGGCAGCCAAGATTCATCCAATATAAAAATTATTTGCAGCAATGGGGAACACTGTTGTTTTTTAAAAAGTATCTGTATGTGGTGTTCATTAGGGTAAGCTGTAAGGAAGGATATAATGAAGCCTCTGTTTAAATGATGTCAGCATAAGAGTAAGACAATTGAATAGGGTTAGAAATGAAGCTCCTAGGTCCTGCCACATGTTCTGTTATTAGAATGTGGCAGTAAATCAAAGAAATTTTAATCCGAATAATGCTTTAAAAGGCTCAGAATTATAGGCACCTAATTAGTGATCAGAATTTCTCTATCAGGTGTGCAGAGGGGGAGAACTTGATGGAATGATAGTTGGTAGATGACTTGTGTCTTTCCCTTAGAGGGTACTTGCTCACTTTCTGTAGGGTTTGCACCTTGATTCTTTTGTCTAATGGAGCCATAATCTCTTGCTTGGTTTTCCTTTTCTCCTAGAAAAGGATATCTTTAATTTTGTAGTGCCAGGATTTGGTAAGCACTCTGTGACCAGATAATAGGTTTATATTAACTGAACATTTGGGAGCTTGATTTTACAAGTGTGGTCCCACTAGCACCATGCGTAACCTGAATAAACTACATGTGCACCACCTAATATTTTTGTCTGCACATCGGAAGAAATGTAAGCAATAAGTGTTTGTTGATATTACGCAAACTAAAATGGACACAATATATAGATTAAAAACCCCAAACCTTGTTTATTTTTTAATTTATTTACCACTATTTGGATTATTAGATACTAGAGTAGGTGACCAATGAAGGGCATTAGCTATTTGAAGAGGTTAGATACTAATTGATTTAGGACTTTTCTGCCTATTGGGAGACAGAATCACACACTTCCTGGTGATGGGTATTAAAGAGGGCATGTTCTGCATGGAGCACTGGGTGTTATACACAAACAATGAATCATGGAACACTACATCAAAAACTAATGATGTAATGTATGGCGATTAACATAACAATAAATAAATAAATAAATAAATAAATAAATAAATAAATAAATAAATAAATAAAATGAATCTTTGGAGGCTCCTTTCAGCAATATGACTCTATGATCCCATTTTACAGATGGAGATGGAAATATATATATGGAGACACATGTGACATATCTGAGAAATGACGTATCTATGAGAAATGATACTACGTGACATATCATAATCAGAAATAGAAACTGATATAAAATATACAAAGACAAAAATTGTTAAATCCTTTACCTTATTATTTACCTAACTCCTCTGTTTCTAGCCTAGTGTTTTTTTTTTTTTTTTTTTTAAGGATTCTGGCTGGAGACTATCAAAACTAACTGACCCAAGCACCCTAGGATCTGTTAACCAATAGTAAAATACAAGCTCTGACTTGGTTAGAAATCTCTTAAAACATTAATCACACTCATATCACTCGACTAAATTGTCTACCTCCCTGTTTTATTTCAATCACCATGCAGTTGTCAATGAAGAGAAAGCATCTTGTGGTACAGTTTATTTTTTACTTGCCTGACTTAATGCATCCTGTTTTCTCTTTGAAAGATAAATGCAGAAATTTGCACTGATTTAAAGGAATAGAGAAACCTCCAGGCAAGATTCTACACTTCCTGGTGTGATGGAGAGAAAAGGCAAACCCATTAACGCAGGATTTGATTTCCTAGGAGAAGCACTGGTCTTATCAAAGCAGACGTTTGTAAGCAGTCCATTTACTCAGATAGTAGGCATCTCTCCTGCCTCAGGACCCTCACACGCAAATGGCAAGAATTGTTTCTTACTTGTGGTCCGATATGATCTATCTTTCCTGATCATGCTTAGCATTGACTCACAGTGACACTTGTCACAGAGAGATGAAGACCCTGGAAAGGGAGGGACCCAACATACTCTACTGAGTATCTACCATGTGATAGATCATATGTTAGAACAATCTACGCACATAATCACATTTGATCCTCCCAACAACCTATGGAAGTAAATACCATTCACATTTTATGGTGAATGGTTGAAACTCAATTTAATTATTTGTTGAAAATGATATGGTTAGTAAGTTGAGATGGTTGCTAAATTTGGGCACAAAATAAAGATAGAAGCTTGGTATAAAGAGCTCCGAGGAAGAAAGCAAAGGTTACCACACCTGTGAGGAATCAAATCTGCTTGGAGTCCTTTTTCAAAAGTTCAGTCACTCCTTTTGCAGAATCAGATGAGTAGCACTGTTATCTATGTCCTTGTTCTTTTTGACTAAATTCATCCCCCTCTCACAACAGGGGAAGTTTCTGTTTATTTAAAGGCCATGTTTTTAAAGCTATTGACCTAGAGTTGTCATCACATTCTTCCTACTTCAAATAGTTTGAGTATTAAGATAAATACATCTCCCTCATTTTACTGCTAAATAAACTGACCCTTCAAACATAAGAGCTAACTCATGAAAAATAATATATAATACTTGCCTCCATGAAGGAAACTCTTTCCCTAAAATATACATGGGTTAGAATATCACTACTCTGCGATAGAAGTAGCCCATATAAGAAAGGTGGGATTTTAGAAACATATATATATATGAAGTAAAGAAGTACATTGAATACAATGGATAAGTAGAAAAGGCATAAAGCAGCTGGGTTCAGGAGAGGGAAAGCAGTGGAGAGAAGTAGAAAATCCCTCTTTGGACATTTTCTTCAACACATGTTAGAAGAAAAGGAAATCAGCAGAGAGGGCTTCTCTAAATGTGGAGCTGTTTCTCCAACCAAGGTTGGTCTCCCTATTTCATGTTTCTCAGTGGTCAAGTTTCATGCTACAGGGCTCTAACTCCTTAGCACTTCTAGGTTGTGTGGTCTGCCCTGCAGTGACCACCTAGGAAGCCAGGCACTGAAGATTCAGTGTGGTTTCTCATGAAAAAGTAGAGAGGGTGACCTAGCGATAAGGAGTGTACTGGGCCATGGGATATATCTGAAGAACCCTCCAATGTACCTGATTGAGATTGTTGGCCTCATATGGTTATCCCTACCCCTTGAAAAATGTCCTTGGCTTCCAGATTCTGTTCTGCTAAGACTTCATTTCTGGCAGCTTTCATACATCGCTCTCTTTCCAGTTGTCTCTCTGCCTTGCTTCTTTTGTCTGTGGAGATGAAAATACAAGTAAATTTTAAGAATTCTTCCAGGTAATTCTGGTACTATTTAATTGCAACACAGTGGATGATCTTCACATGATTTTCTTTCATCAGGTTGATTAACATTTTAGTGCGTTCTTGATTTTTTCCTTTTCTGATTCAATTTTGATAAACATTGCAGTGGGTTCAATTATTTTTGTTAAGTCAGTACATGAGGCTTTCCTGCTTAATTTTAAGTGAGAGAAAAACAAATTGGTGATTTAGGGAGTTCGTTTGGCTTCTGATGTTATCATCTTTCTGTTGTGGGGAAAAGGTCTCAAATCTAGAAGGACATTTTATAACTTCTGCCTTGTCATGCTTTCGTCCTCACCAGAACACATCCTTCAAATTGGAGGGGGGTGGGCGGGATATTGGTGAGATTTTTTATATATTTGCGACTTTCTTCTTCTCAGTGCTGCTTGGGGGAATAGGAAAAGGAGATACATCATTCCTAAGAGCCTTTACTTTCTTAAATATAATAGGGGACCATCATTAAGATCAACATTTTTAGATTTACAACAGTACTTGTAAACAATTGACCCACATTTTATGATTGGGAAAAAGGCAAACTAAATCCAATAAAAATTTAATCATTTTCTTGTCCTTTTAAGGTTAGTAGATGTAAATAGCATCATTTAAGTCTAAAATTATTTAACTTGATGAATTAAAATTGCCACTCGACATAATAACATAGTGAAGACTATTCACAAAATTAAAATGTTCTTTTCAGAAAATGCAGTTTAAACATTTGCACATTAAAATAAAGAATACTCTTGTTGAGCTCTGGTGAATACAGCAGCTAAAAAACAAAACCAAACACCATTCCTTTTTTTTTTGAAATGTTCTCTTTGGTAAAGAAAATTAGATATTTAAGACTTTCTCCTCTTAGTTCTTTTAATAATGTATCATGGGAGAATATGGAAATTGTGTTCCTCAGAGGTTCTCTAAATAACGTGAGAGTAAAAGAGTGATTTATACAACTTTTAAGAAGAATGAGAGCAAGATGTTTGAGGAAGAGAGAACCAGTTGTGTCTGATTCTTTTTTTTTTTTTTAAGATTTTATTTATTTATTTGACACAGAGAGAGATGGTGAGAGAGGGAACACAAGCAGGGTGAGTGGGAGAGGGAGAAGCAGGCCTCCCGCTGAGTGGGGAGCCCGATGCGGGGCTCAATCCCAGGACCCTGGGATCATGATCTGAGCCAAAGGCAGAAGCTTAACGACTGAGCCACCCAGGCACCCCATGATTCTTAAACTCTCTATACTGTAATAGGCCCAGAGAACAGAGCCACTGTCTTTTATAACTTTTGGAGGCACCGTTGACATTGACATCATAGTTCACATGAACATCATCCTATGGAGTTGTACGGGATGGTGTGGTGGGGAGCCTAAGCCACATGGCTGCATGTGGATTCCCTGACTTAGAATCTCTTTCATATTACCTTTAGATAATAACAATAAAAACAACAATAACAGAAGAAAATGTCTTCTGATGTCCATTAAATTTTAGCTTCTCTTCACTGAAGCATAAAAAGTTAGGGAGGAAACCTCAAAAAAACTGCACCTCAGGTATGGCCCAAGAGCTGTCAGGAGGGCGGGTTGGCTTGAAAAATAACTGAGGGGAAGCAAATGAGATGTGTGGGCCTGGCAGGAGAGGAAACGATCCTTCCTGTGCCAAAATAATGGTGGCTGGCCTCCCTTGGGTTTTTGCTATGGATGAGAGTGCTCAGAATTGGGCAACTTCGCTCTTCCCAATTATGGGTGGCAGGTTTAATGGTCAGCTGCTGGTCATTCTGGACCAGATCCCCAATAGGTAGACACTGTTCACTCTTCATTTTTAGATCTTCTCTTTCCCCACTCCCCCCTCTCTCCACAATCCTGACATTTCATATTGAAACATGGACTAGAATAAATTAAGTTACCTATAGTTGGCCAGATAGGTTTTTCATCTTCAGCTTTTATGTTGGTAAGAGGATAAGGGAAGAAAAGGTTAAACAGACTTGCTTTGATGTTATGAAATGCTGGTGGTGTAAATTCAAAATGTAAAGTATCAACCTTGAATAAATAACTTAAGATTTAATATAATGTTTTCCATCTGCAAAATGTCCAAAACAAGCAGACTTCGGTTTATGAACATTTTGGTTGTCTTATTTTTCTTCTGTGGCTTAGACTAAGTTTCCTTGCTTATGGTTTAGTTTTTAAAAGTCTTTGCTACTGGAGTCTCTTCAGCAATGTCAATTCTAAAGGTCTCTCTCCCCTCATAAAATGTTCCCTCAAATCTCACTGAGGAAGAGGAGTTGGGAATACAGGAACAAGCTCACCTTTCATGTAGAGTGGGCTCATATTATTGCCAGTCTTAGCTATATTCCTTCATATGAAGTTTGTATCATAAAAAAAACTGTTTATTTTTGCCTGATGATATCAAGATGAAGCTTTTGGTTATGATAGATTTAAACAATGTCAACAAATATGTCTTTTGAGCTGCTTTCCCAGGGGAGATGATGCATTTTCCTAGAACAGATCACATTTATTCTTAGTGGTACTTCTCCATTCCCCCGTAGAATGTGTTTGTAAGATACCTGGGTCCATGTGAGTCTGGAATTCCTGGCTTTATTTGCAGTACCACTGCTTTTGGCAGGTGACCTTGACTCTCTTTGGTTTTACTACTTGCAGGATTTTAAATTTCATCTAACTGCCATTGTAGCTCAGTGGTTCTTCCGCTTAGAATTTAAGAACTCTGTAATACTTGGCTATTTGGATTCTTAATGGAATTATTTATCACAGTGCATCTCATAGTGATACAGTGTCCTGTGTCATTTTTTTTCTGTTCCTAGTCCTGGTCTTAGCCTGTGCTTAGATCTCTCTGTAAAAGATTTCCTGAAAAGAGAGGTAATGGTGTCCTCCTTAATTGAGATGTCCCTGCAGCTTCATATAAATGTTATAATGATGCAGACCATCCCCCTGCCCCCACTTCCCAACCCACTACTTCTTTTTTGTTACTTTTCTAGGTAGGAGGTGACACACAATATCCTATAAGAGATGAGCAAAAATATCATTAGAAGTGATCATTTAGAAAATAAATCAGTCAGGAACAGCTGGGCAACAGTGACTCGGGGATCCAGTAAAAATGTAGGAGAAACACATTTTAGTACAAAAGAAAATTAAATAATGGTCACTATAAATGAACAGGAACATTTTCTCTTCATTTGATGTTTTTACTATATGAAGTTCAAAATAATTTACAAGCATACATTAATAATTAGCTCTCTGCACACCCCCATTTTTGAATGCTTAAATTGAGGCAGATGGCTAATGATTGATTTATTCAAAGCACTCAGCATGTCAGTGGTTGAATTTTCTTGAGATCCCTTTCACTGTAGACCACACCACTTCTAATGACTTATGTATAATTCATCTCAGCTTCGTCCAAATTAGGAGCTGACATTTTTTGGTAACACAAATCACAGCTCCTTGTCAGTAAAAGAACCCCAGTGTGGGAAACTCAGACTGCTAGGAAGCTCAGTATGCTGCTAACTTTTTTGTTTTTGTACAGATTTGAGAGAATTTAATAGTTTGCCACCATTATGTTGGCACATGAGTGCATATGTTTATTGATGAAGTTGATTTTTCTTCAACCCAGGTATTTCCTGGGCAAGCAGGAAAGGAGATCATTGTGAGGATTTTCTCTCAGGTGGTTCAAAATGAATTAACAATAAGAATGCATTAAAAATGCTTTCGGTCCAGTAATTTTTCAGTACTGATCTTAGAATGATAACTATGAGCCTAAAAAACAGAATCAGGTGGTTTTATTTCAATTTCTTCAACATCTTTTTGGAATTTAAAAAAATTTTTCCCTCTGCACCTGTGTGACCCTTCTCTTTTAGTCTCTCCCTGTTGTGAGTGTGAATACTTGTGATCAAAGACCCAGTTTTGCTTCCTTGGTGTGCAGAAGTCCTTGATTTCAAGATCTTTTGAGATCAAGCTGAGCCATGCACATACGATGGGAAGAGAGCATGATCCCGAGAAGACCAAGTGATACTGGAAGACATATTTGAATGTTGATTCTAAATGTTTTTTTTTTTTTTTAAAGATTTTATTTATTTATTTGAGACAGAGAGAATGAGAGACAGAGAGCATGAGAGGGAGGAGGGTCAGAGGGAGAAGCAGACTCCCTGCCGAGCAGGGAGCCTGATGCGGAACTCGATCCAGGGACTCCAGGATCATGACCTGAGCCGAAGGCAGTCGCTTAACCAACTGAGCCACCCAGGCGCCCTTGATTCTAAATGTTAACCAGAGATTTTTCTTTATCTTTCTACAACATAAGAAATAAATTTATTAATTTCATCTTGACTTGGATAAAATTATGCCATACACTGAATACTAAAAATTGTAGCTAGAAATGCTCTAGATGATTGCCACATATACTTTGTAGCATAATATTTTCTAATAGATATACTCTCTTTGAAGAACTTGGCTGGTTCTATGGTTTTTTTCCAGAGAATAATTTTTTACTTGGGGCGCTTGGGTGGCTCAGTGGGTTAAGCATCTGACTTTGGCTTGGGTCATGATCTCGGGGTCATGGAATCAAGCTCCATGTCAGGCTCTGCGCTCAATGGGGAGTCTGCTTCTCCCTCCCTCTCTCTCTCTCTCTCTCTCTCTCCCTCTGGCCCTTACCCCACTTGGGCTCACTCTCTCTCTCTAATAAATAAATAAAATCTTAAAAAAATAAAAGCATAATTTTTTACTTTAATAGCCTGAGAAATATCCATGGTTAAATTCCACTTAAGTTTAGGAGTCTTTATAGATACTGCCTAATTAATTATAGTTGTTTTAACTTATTACAAAACTAAAAAAAATAGAACTAAAATAGTGCAGATTTAATCATACTTAGTTTTTTATAATAAGACACTGATTGGTTTTATCTAGCCAGAATTCTTTTTTTTTTAAATTTTATTATGTTATGTTAGTCAC